TGGTTTGAGGATGAACTATATATATAAAATAACTAATAAAAATAATATATATATGTTTATATTAGTTATACATACAATATATATATATACAACTAATATGCATATTAAAATAAAAGTAATTATAACTAATATATATATACTAGTTACAATGACATATATTATTTATAATATAATTTATAATATATATGTTGTAGATATGTACGTATATATGTGTTTTATTAATTATAAGTAATTTTTTTATAATCCAAAAGTTTATCAGACCTTTGACCTAACATCTCCCAGAAGACCGGAAAAGATCAAGTGAATACCCCTTCCCACCTTTGGGTTTGAACTCAAAGTAAGAGCATGCTTTACATGTGCTCTTACCACTAGATCATCCAAGGTTGGGTAAGTAATTTTATTTTTAATATATATATGTGTGAATTTGTATGTATATATATATATTAATTTAAATAAATTATTCAATTTAAAATTTGTTTGAAACGATGATGTGGCATAATTATGATGATGTGTGCATGATTTGGAAGCTATGTCATTGTCACATCATAATTTTTGTTTGAGTTGAGAAACACGGGGGTTTTCGACGAATTTTTAAAAAATTTGGAGTTTTATTTATTAATCACACCAAGTATAGTGTTTAATTAGTAACAAAAAAATATAGAATTTTTTCACCAACTACCCGAAAGAGTATAAGATTTTTTTTGCGATTTTTCCTTAAAAAACATTTGTTTATTTGATCTTTTTCTCGTTCCAAACTTTCGAAACGTATTTGCATTGGAATATATATACATATAACATATACATATGTCTTGTTTTTGGTAAATGCGTAAATAAATACGAATCGGAGTGCATGGTACAATAAATGCAGTGTCAAACTGACATGGAACCTCGTTGATGCCAGCGTTGACCACACCGATGCCAAACACCAACAAAACTCGTAGGCATCTAAGTTGATACAAAATTTATGATGCTCAACATGGAATTGCATTGCATAAGTTCGTTTTTGGCAATTAATATGTGATAAATGTTTTCTTTAATGCGCATATAACTTACAGGGAATTCTCTATTAGCGACATAAAATATGATTTGCATAAACACCGAGCCTATATATACATAAGATCCCATCGACCACGACAGGTTTTCTTTTCTCTCCTCCCATTATGCAGGTAGTGAGTTTATTTAACAAAGCAAAACTATATATATTGTTATTAGTTATTGATTTCTAATACTTTTCTGTTGACTTGATTCAACTTATATCTAACCAAGCCTTAGCTCCAAACCAACATCCTCGACATTGGTTCGATCATAAAACCCAAGTGCAGAACCGGCATCGAAATGGACATCAGCCGAGGCGTTCATGGTCTCGAGCGGCCATGCGTTGCGGCTCGATTCTCCGAGCTGGTACTGGGACCAGTCGAGCCGTTTGAACCGGCGGGTCGGGGCCTTGGTCTTGTTGATGCGCGGGGTGTCCGAGCTGCCATCATCAGGGGCGGGGTCTTTGGCCACGTGGCGAATGTCGAAGGTCTTGTGAGGAGGGATGATCTGGTGCGACGCGGGTGCACCAGGGAGAGGGCTGTGTGTGATGGACGAGCCGTTGAGGACCGCATTGACGGCCGCTTGGCAGTGGGACCAGTTCCCCGAACACATCAAACCCACTGATCCATCCACAGGATTCACTATCCTTCCACACGCCTCGTACAACAACGACTTAAATATTGCTACAACAAATACGCGTACCAATTTATACATAAAATAAAAAAGAAACTCCTCAAATTTTCTAAAAAAGAATGAGAGACTCGTAATTTCATTTGTTTATAATTTCATTGAAAAGACCGCAAGTTCTGAAAAATTGATTCCTAGAAAAGTAAAGACAGCTTTTTAGTTGAAAAGGATGAATAAGAGTCGTAATCTACTTGGATCTATAAAAAAAAAATCAAACCCTACAGCTATATATGTATGTATACCGGGGCGGAGATGGTAGGGGCCGGACTCGATGAGGTTGAGGAGGCCGGCTCGGCCGTAGAACTTGGCGAGGAAGAGAGTGGCGTTGGCTTGGGACTCAGGGGATTTGATCCATTGGAGGCATGGCCTTATGATGCATTCCTGGTTGCAACCCTTCCGTAGTACCCTGCACCCGTTGCAGCTTATCCTCATCTCTCTACAAGCTCCTACATATACATCTACATATACATGGATGTTTTCCTCTCTCTATATGTGTATATATATCGGTGCATGTGAGTGCGTGTATGTGAGTTTTGTTGTCGATGAACGAAACTACAAGGAGCCTATGTATATATAGAGGGGGAGATTATTCATCATCTACATATACATGGATGTTTTCCTCTCTCTATATGTGTATATATATCGGTGCATGTGAGTGCGTGTATGTGAGTTTTGTTGTCGATGAACGAAACTACAAGGAGCCTATGTATATATAGGGGGGGAGATTATTCATTATGGGTTTCTTTTTCCCCTCTTACCTTTTTTTCAGCTTTTTGGAGCGCTCTTGGAGAGAGTGTGGAAGCCTCGTTCTACGCATTTCAAGTTTTGATTTTCTACCGAGTTATTAATAATATGTATAAAAGGTGCATTGGATTCTTTTGATAATTTCGTCTCGTTTGGTAAAACGTATTTGGTTCCTTTTCGGGATAAATACGAAAGAATTACTCTATTTTTTTTAAATTTTAAACGAAAATTGAGGTAATATATTGAGATATGTCAACTTTATATCTATAACTCAAATGCCGTAAAATTTTGAAAAACGAAATTCTTCACGGTAATTATAAATTTATAATGGTAATTGAGGGTGGGAAACAAGAGATAAGAGACCTAAAAACCGGGGGTCGTGCTGTGTGTTTCAGTGTAATTGCAAATTTTCATTAGCTTTTGTTTTGGCAAAAGTTGGGGAGTGCCTTCTTCGGGAACTCCAATTTCGTCTCATTCATCTTTTGAACTTTTCTGTTCTTCGGGATTTGCCCTCCATGCAACACCTTATTACGCTTTTGCCATCCATCGGCTTCTCCCGTCTTTTGATTTCCTTCCGTCACAAATATTTGGAGTCCACGTAGACATAGCATAAAGCTTCCGCATGATTTCCTCAATTTTACATCCTTTTGGTTCGTGAGATTGATGTTAGAATCATTTGCTGAAAATAATAATTTCCACGCACCACAGAGAAAAGTAGCAATAAGACTTGGAGAGGGGGCAAATTTGTAATTTGAGAGTGACGAGAGGGGTAGAAATACGAGGAAGCCTGGCGATGAAAGGTGGGAGACATGCACGAGAATCACCCCCCCAAGTCGATTACCGACAAAACCGTAAAAGGAATATTTAATTAAAAAAAAAAAACTCGAAGCCAAACCAGAAATTAAAAAGAAAAATAATTACAAAAAAGGTCACGTGAAATACACGTGAGCACAGAACACACACACACCCCCGCGTGTGTTCGTTCGCCATTTTTAAATGTCTATAATCTTACATTGCCCGCCTCTATGATGGAACCCTCTTTCTTTCCAGTTTTTTTGGGAGTCCGCCGTACGGTTCTATCGAAATATTACGAAAAAAAATTGCAGTATTTACTATAAATGATTACGTAATTTTTTTTACGTTATTATCATGTTTGGTTTACGCAAAACTGTGGGCGCCCGAAGAAAAGAAGAAAAGTAAAATGGTTTTGAGTGTAAGAACAAGGTTTCGAAATATAATCGTACTGATTTTTTTTTTTCAAAGAAAAAATGTTTGCCACTAATCGTAGTGTTTAATTATGGAATACACCCGAAAATGTTTTGCAACAAACAAGTAATGGTGTGAAGAGGATGAGCATCTTTACGCATTTGAGAACGCATTTTGACATTACCAAACATATTTAGAAAACCACGTCGATTTTTAGTCCCGCGTAAGTAAAACTACTTCCATCATAAATAGAGGGTTTAAGTACAGCTGCTATCCAATTTATGTTCTTTATCTTCACTTTTCACGTTCATATCATAAATAATATTTTACAAAACATATACAAAAATTATGTTAAATCTACTAAACCTCAAATTTATTCTTATCTTTTTTGTAGGATATGTTGGGGATAATAATGGGAAATAGTTTTAGAAAAAGGAAAAATGATGAATATAACGAATGAACACAAAGTTATATGAGTCTAGTCAAACGATTTTTAAAAAGTTTATTTACCCCTTGATTCGAAATAAGACAAAATATTTTCAGAGATTCAACAAGATTTATGTAGCGGTTCATTTTTGGATTTTCATATCTGAAATGTCTAGAGTGTCTGACGTGAAAATTAGTGTATCTTGCCAGCGTCAAATGTTATTTTAAATTAGATGATCTTAATGGAATTTTTCATATATATTTACGAGTCTTGTGGAGAAAATAGTTAGTTTAGACGAGATTTATCACCTCCCCAACGAGAGAGGTATCGTTGGCCCCTCGTGAAAATTAAAATGTGAAAATGTATAGTCGTATTATAGTTGAGTGGTTCATCTATCTTGTCAATTGATTTATCGAACGAAAAAATGTTGAACTTGAAAGGCTTGTTCCATGCCCTTATTCAACGTATAAAAATGACTCATGTTGAACACTTTTAATGAAAAAATTGACAATAATTGTTGCATTAATTTACCTATGAAGAACTCAGATTCTTCTTAGAAATATTAATCTTAGGGATAAATATTAAATCTCGGCGATGGGTGGATATCGAGGCAATCTTAATAAACTCTCATCTTTTTTATGAAAAATATTTTATAGATTTGAAATAAAAAGAATGTGATATTCTGGGCTATGATGAGGGTTGAGAGTGTTCGCTGATGCAAATGGCACGATCAAGGAGCAGCTCCCCGAGTACCACTAAAACCAAAGGGATACAAGAATGAATCGAACGCGTCGAAATAAGACAGAGTGCACATACCTTTTCGGTTGACTATCCCGAGAGAACTCCAAAGTTAAATGTGTAGAATCACCATTTCTCCATCTTGCCTCACCAAGATAGCACAACACACCCAACTTTGGCATGACCCATGATTAGTGTTGAGGACAGTTTCAATATTTTGTAGTGGCCGCGGGTCATTACAGATGGTATCAAAGCCAGTACTCGCCTAATGCGATGTGGTTTGAGGATGAACCAGACGGAAGCTGGTGGGTCTATGATATCCCGAGGTATGATGAGGATTAAGAGTGTTCGTCGGTGCAGATGGTACGATCAAGGAGCGGCTCCCCGAGTACCATTAAAGGCAAAGGAATATAAGAATGAATCGAACGCACCGAAATGAGAGATATTCGAGGGTTATGTAGGTATGAGACTATATGGTGTAAGATAACATAAAAGCATTAGTTAGACTACTCATAGCAATAAGGTGCACATACCTTTTCGGTTGACTATCTTGAGAGAACTCCAAAGTTAAACATGCTAACTTTGGAGCAATTTAAGGATGGATGACCTAATAGAAAATGTCTCGGTATACGTGTAAGTGAGGACAAAATATGCTGAAATATCTCGTATTGGTGTATGAGAGTAATTTTGATATTTCGTAGTGGCCGCAGATCGTTACGAAAAAGATCTTTTATAGATTTTTCCCCGACAGTCCCATTAATTGGCGTGGTGATGAAGAGTCGCTAAAGATATTAATGACTCATCAAACCTACAACTCAAAAATTATAATATATATATGAATATATATAAAAATTATAATAAATATATGAATACATATAAAGAGAAAGATAGGAGATTACAAATTGTTCATTACATTTAAACATTTTGAATTAAGTTGAATTTGAATTTGATGTTAGTGATTCTTTGAATTTTTTTTGTTAACGGTAAATCGTATAAATATAATTGTTTTACAACAAGAAAGACCAATGTGTAGCATCCCTGAGTACAATAGCATTGTTCATGGTACCAGATCCAAATGAGACTCAAGGATTATACTAAAACTGTGACACTTGTATCCCGTATACATGATATGTCACATGGACAAACTAGTAAAATACAAAAACACAAAATTACGGGAATTCAAAAACTTTTAATACAATACGCAAGGGAATGTTTGACAGCGATCAAGTCACAAAATCACACATGTCTGAAATAAAAAACCATACAACCGTACAACCGTAGGAGCCATGTTCCATAGTTCAAAATATACAACGAAGAGAAATACATCTGTACATGATGTTGCCTTCACAAATTCGTCGTCGTCCAAAGTGCTCTATTCGTGTTCCTCGGGATCTGAAAAATTCAACAATGGATGGCTAAGTATAATGCTTAGTGAATGGCTTGGTTTGAGCCCAGAGGGCCCATTCTCATGGAGAACAGTGCCAACTAATATTTCTATACAAGAATTCCCGTATTTTCACTTATCCATTTTAATTTCATGCAACAATCCATTATAATTCATTAAATTCCAATTATTATTCCACGCATTATCGATATCATTTAGTACTGACTCAAATCATCTACCAATATTAGATTCAACCCTACTTCTCTGTAATAGTACGGATTCCACTTCGTCAACCAGTATTATTACGAAAACGACCATGCAAATCCACCAGTACTGACTCCACGTCGTCAATCGGTATTGGCTTTACTAAACATTCTCATAACAGTACTGACTCCACTTTGTCAATCGGTACTGTTGTAGGAGCGTTCATACAAAAACACCAATACTGACTCCATTCGTCTACCGGTACTGATTCCACCACATATTTCTATAATAGTACTGATTTCACTTCGTCAACGGTACTATTATAGAATATCTACACAATCCGCCAGTACTAACTCAATTCGTCAACCGGTACTGGATACGCTTCCTCCTTTTCTTCGTACTAGTACTGATTCTATGCCGTCAACCGACACTAAGTACAGGATCCATCAACCATTCAATCCCATGCATATTCAAAATCATTTATCTTTTATTCTCACTACTTTACTATTCTCCAAATTCTCTCCTGTATTTATTTCTCATGCTTGCAGGTTTGTAATCCATTTTCACTATTTTCCATATTCGTTTAATCCACTTATTTTATCGTTTGCATTCAGTTATAGCTTAGCACCCGTTCTACTTTGATCCGTTGAGAGTGTTCTTTTTCCAGCAATTGGTTCAGACATGCCGGTATACTCATCAAACCGTCCGATCTAGTGTTCATTTTACGTTGCGTTCTTGGTGGTTTTCAGCTTAGATCGATCGGTTCGATTCTCAGACCGTTCGGCCCACACGTCTTTTTGGTCAGTAAGCCCTGCTTCGGATCACTCGCTAATGTGGTCGAAATCGCAGCCGTCCATACTGGACCGACTGGTTCAGACCTAGTTCGAATCCCGATCGAGATTGATTTTCTTTTCTATTTTTTTTCTATCCAGACGTCAGACCGGTCGATCCAAAAGCTGGACCGATAGGTCTGGATGCTGTTCATCATTACTAAATCT